TATTTTGGGGGGTATTTTAAGTTATTCAATGGAAAATGCTCTTTGATAAAGTTATCCAATGGAAAATGCACATGTGTACACATGTTCAATTTAAGTTACAAATGTGAACAGCTGCTATGTACATGTTGGGGAAAATCTTATGGGAAACAGGTAAGTTCATAATTACAGAAACAAAGGATTCATAGAAAATGGTCAATATTATGTGTAAATAGGAGGCCAACCCCTCTCATAGCAGAAAGGAAAAAATAATATTTCCTTTGACTGAGTGGAATATACAGCAGGAACAGATGCCCCTCTATTCTCTTCTGATCCTTGCTGGGAGAGGATATTGAGTGGAATTTTCCTGTTGCTGCAGAATTAGAAACTGAAGCTGAACGACACCAGCCTGAGTGCCCTCCATTCTAAATCGCTAACAACGGGCTTAGGGTTCCCAACTCCGGGAACTGCAAAACATTTGCTGCCACAATGAAATACCACTCTCAACACCCACCCATCGCTTGTAGGAAATGGAACCTTTGGGGGAAATTGTTTTCCTCCTTTATCCCAGGGGAACAAGGAGAGCGTAACCTCCCAGCTCAAATCGAGTCCAAAATATCCCAGTGGACTCATTCATACAATGGGGGGATGCTAGGCAAGACTGACATATGGCTCTCTTATATGAACATCTGGCTAAGTTGGGGTTATACTAATAACAGAGTCTGTGACAAATTTCTGAGTTCAGGTTATCTTTTGGATTAATGATTGCCAAGAAAATGGAGTAAGGCTGTGAGGAGAAAAAGTCATCAAAAGGTTCATTACTAAGCTGGTCACCATACCACATGGGCAGCTGAAGTCTCATCCTTCCAGGGCTTCTCCAGAAAGCAAATGAGTGCAGCATGCCCCAGAACTGTCCTCCTAGAAGCTGGTAGGTAGGGCACTATCTTGAGAGTTGTCTTTAGGAACATCATATGCCCCTTCCCTTCCTCACACAGCTTCAGAGAATGCCCACTATACAGAAACCTATTGGGTGAGGACTGAACTGTCCCCACTGATAGCAGAAATCAGATGGCAAACATCAGTTGAGTCTGCTGCAACTCTGCTTAAGCCACTGACTTCCAGTTTATCACTGTGCCCTCAAGTAGTGGTAAAGGAACTGAAGAAACAAAGCAGGGTGAGAAGGTCTATTATGGTATGTTCTTAATACACACTTTTTTTTGTGGTAAAGATAAGTGAACTTCCTACAAGTCAAGTGCACATGATAAAAAAGTTATTCCCTCAAAAATGCACCTGTTGGGTAAGAGGAAGCAGTGATGACAATAGGGAGAGGATTCCAAACATTGGGCAGGACAAGCTTTAAATTGGATCTATAATTGGAGCCACAAACTGGACTGGTTTGGACTGGTTGAATGTCAGTAACTGAAAATAGCCCAGGCATCTGTGTCATCTAGCTAAGATATCATATAGAAACAGGAAAAGTGGATTCAAGAGAGACTGGAGAATAATAAAATTATTTTACATGTGGACTCCTATTGAGTTGAGACACCTCAACATGAAACCACCAATGGAGAGAGACAGAGCCAGGCAATTTGAGTAGTGACGTCTACCATTAGAAGAACCTGCTGAATCCCAGAAAGTAGTTAAAACTCCTTGGGCTGGTGACAAGATCTGAACAAATCATGAGTGATTTGTGGCCCAAGTCCTTGGGCCCTGCACCCCATGGGAGACCAGGAGAAGCACCTGGCTCCTGCCTTCGGATTAGCACGGTGCACCGGCCGCAACGCGCCAGCCGTGGCGGCCATTGGAGGGTGAACCAATGGCAAAGGAAGACCCTTCTCTCTGTCTCTCTCACTATCCACTCTGCCTGTCAGAAAAAAAAAATCATGAGTGATTTGTGTTTTCAACACAAGTTAAAGGAATTAAACAGTGTTTATTAAAAAGTTGAATGTAACAATCGTTTTTAAGAATAGAATGACAGTAATAAAAATGAAGTACCTGATTGTACCTTCTGTGTTTATATTTCCTTAAATCTTACACAAAACTAAATATTCTTAATCTAGGACCCAAGGACTCCAAAGGATGGAATGGGTGAGCTTCAGCAGATCTGTGAGTCCCATGAAACTGCACCCAATATTTTGTATATGTGTGCCTATGTGGTCTGTGAGGGAAGAAGTCTAAAGCTCCTATCAGGTACTCAAAGAAATACTTGATCCCAGAAAGGTTGCAACACACTTATCTGTGCTATTTTTTAGTACTGAAAATTTGCATTGTTAATGCAACTATTTTATTTCTGCAAGAAAAATAACATTTATTTGAAAATATTCTAGATTTCTTTGATTCAGAGAGAGTCCCACTGAGAACTGTTTCTATTCCAGCGCTGGATTCTGTGGACTCCTGCTTGGCACTGTTTCCCCCTTGTGGCCTCTACGAGACTTGCAGCTACCGCTCCTCCGATAGGAGAGTCCACAGATCCAGGTAACAAAGTTCACAAATGTCACAGGCTACATGAGAAGTTGGCACAGAAAAAGACAATTTTTCCTAAAAAAATTATTAACTATGTATTTATTTTAATATTCATTTTACAATTTAAGGAAGAAGTTGATAGAAACATATTTATATTTTTCATAATTTTCTAGTTATGTCCATGATAGGGCAGGTGGATTTGGCAAAACAGAAACCAAGATAACACATAAATAACTGAAGTCTTTGAAACAATGACCTAATTCAACTCCTTCACTTTCAGATGAGGAGAGGGAAGTGCAGAGAATTTAGGGAACCACATCAAACAGCATACAGCTGCTTAGTGGAAGAGGTGGGGTCAGAACCAGGTTTCCTGACCTCCAAGCCAGCCAGGGTTCTTTGAAGAGGTTGTGTAATGCTTCCTTACTGAGGGTTTCAGAAGAACAGCTGAAGGAGACTTTTCCTCTGGAGCAACCACCAAAAAACACTAAAGTGAAGCCTCCCCCCTCTACTCTCCACCCCTTCTCCCCCTGCCTCCTACCCCTCCCCCCAGCTCTGTCCTCTAATGGTTAATTTGACACTCTGATGTGTGTCAACATGACTGGATTGAGGGATGCCTAGAGAATTGTGAAAGCAGAATTCTGCATGTGTCCATGAGGACTGGCATGTGCATCCGCCAACTGAGGAAGGAAGAGCCACCTTCAATGTGGATGAGCACTAAGAACTCCACTGGGGGCTCAGAAGGAACAGAAAAGTCAAAGACAGGAAAAATCTGTCTTTATCTCTGGTTCTTCCTTGCTGAGTGGGATGTGTTCGCTCCTGCTACTGCCTGTGAACTTCAGATTGAAGGTTCTTCAGCCTTTGGATTACACTAGCAGCCCTCAGAGGGTCTCGAGCCTCTGACCTCTGAGGAGAAGCCATATGGCCAGCCTCTCTTATTCTGAGGCTTCCAGATTCCAGATCCTTACCATCTGCTCTGCTCTCCAGGTAGCAGATGGCCAATGTTGAACTTTTCAACCTCTGTAATCCGGTGAGACAACCTGCTACTATATATATACAGGGAGTCTTCAACAAGTTCATGGAACAATTGTATTACGAAAATATTATGCATGATTTCAAAAATTTTGCAAAGAAATCTTTCCATTCCACTTTCCATGAACATTTTGAAGTACCTTTTAAAGTCTCTCTCTCAATATTCATGTATTTTCAACCTATATTTAGAGATATACAATAAATAAATCTTTCAAAATATAAAGATATAAACATATATGTTACAGTTCACTCATTCCATTGATATTTACAGAATACCAGTTGTGGCTCAGACATTGTTCTAGTCTGTAGGAATAAAAAGATAAATATAATATAGTCATGTTCGCAAGAACTTCTCATCTGTCAGAGTCAAGAGATATTCAAGGAAACAGACTTACTGAAGATGTAGACAGAGCGAGGTAATGCAAGGTGCTTTAGTAATTTTCAAGGAAGAGACAGTGTGGTTGATGAGCAGGGCTTGGTGAAAATGGAAGCTGAGTTGAGTCTTGAAGAATGAGCAACTATTGGTGAGGGCAAAGGAGATATGCAACATCACAGAATTTAGAAACTTTAGATACTTTAGTATGTGTGGACTGCATGTGCTGTTGATGGCTTAGTTAAATCCTGGGCAGCTAGACAATGGATGGATCATGAAGGATTTGAATGTCGTGCTGAACACCATGAATTTTATCTGGGAAGCAATAAGGAGCTAATAAGCATGACATGATACTTCTACCTGTAGCCCAGTGGAAGATGGATAAGAGGGAGTAAGAATGAATCCAACAAAGAGACATCTGCAATAATCCACACTACAAATTGTAAAGACCAGAACTAAGGCACTATCAAGGAGGTAGGAAAAGTGACTGGGAATGAGAGAGAGGGAGACAATAGGGTAAAAGAACTTGGTGAGCAGTGACTGTCAGGAGTGAGGAATAGAGAGGAGCCAACATGTCTCCAGGTCTTGCTTGGGTAGTTGAGGGGATGGTGATATGAGTCACTGAGACTGGGGATATAGGAGAAGGAGATGATTGGGGAGAAAGCAAACTTATTAAACAATTTCAAAAGGCAGCCAACTTAGTAAAGGTGAAGATAGGGCAATGAACTTTAAAGATAAAATAATGATAGAACATTTTAGTACATAATTAACTAAGTAAAGATAAGGGAGCTGGAGGTGGAGTCAGGAGGAGGATAAGGTTTTATCCTTCAATCAAGAGGGAACTGTGTGGGGGTCTTACAGGTGTACCATGGTCACAGGAGACTCAGCTGCCCTGGACAAGTAGAAATCCTCCTGACCCTTTCTAGGAAGATAGGGATTCCAGGGGAAGCTGAGTACCCACTCTGTCACTGTGTTTATTGGGGGTCACTCCCTGTCAACTGGAAGAAGAGGGTTCTTTCTAGAAAACCATGCCCCACAGGTGCCCAAACAACAAAAGGACCCCTCCCAGAGAAAAGTAGTTGAGAGTCTCCTCTAAGTTCCTTCCAGCTCTTCACAACAAGGGAGCTAAGAGAGAGCAGGGTCAATCGCAGGTACTCACTGTTGGATGGCCTGGTGCAAGGCAGCCTGGGCCTGGGCTGCCAAGTGTCTCAGGAAGCTGCTGAGATCCAGTTGTCTGGAAGGGAGCTGAAAGTGCAGGCTGCTTTTCTCTTGCTCCAGGTCTTCTAATCTTTGTTGTAGTATCTCAGCTGGAAACCCAAAATGATGAAATTGAGGGGTGCAAAACCATGAAATCAAAACAGATAAGCCGGTGTCTCTGAGCCCGACTCCACGTTGATGTTGACTCCTGCAAGGCTTACTGGTTTCCAGGCCAGCACTCTCGGTGCTGATTCTCAGAACCTTCTGTCTTTTCACCAATGCCATGGTCTGCCTTCCTTTCATTCTTCCAAGTCTCAGATGTAAAGGTTTATGTATTTATATCATACTCACAATTATGACCCACAGAGTGGCACCTTTTATATAACATTTTACACATTTATGAGGTAAAACGTGATTTTCAAGGCATCATTTAATCATCAGATCAGGGTAGTTAGCACAACTATCACTTCATGCAGTTATCATTCTTTGAAATGAGAATATTATAATCCTTAGATATTTTATAATACATAATAATACATTATCATTAACCATAGTTAACCACAATCAGCTGTTCCTATCTAAATGTAACTTTGTACCCAATCTTAATCCTGCCCCAGATCCAGGTTATAATTATTCTCTTCTCTAAATATGAATTATGTTTAAAATTATAGCAATAATTTGGAAATAATATGCTAATTTGATAGGCTCTATCTATATAATCAATTGAAAAAAAACAGTACCCGATGTTAACTTTAAATATTTCCTCTCTCTGCCTCTCTCTCTCCCTCTCCTTCTTCCCATCTTTCCTTCTCTCTCTGTAACTCTGCCTTTCAAATAAATAATAAAATCTTTCAAAAGAGAAATATTCCCCCTCTGGAACTGTACATCAGGAGAGAGCCAGTAACAATCACTGAAGTGGCAGAAGCAATGCTCAAATTCTATGACACTACAGATGACCATCTGGTTCCTTCCATTATAGAGTAGGGTACTCTTATCTTTTAATGGTTTCAGGACTCCTAGGACAGGTTTAAATAGTTTCACTGCAAGAGTTTTTCTTTAAAATAAGTAAATTATAGAAATTAGATTCCTCAGTGAGATACACAGCAGACCCATAGAATGGCAGATGTCCTAAACAGCACTCTGGCCTCAGAATCAGCCCTTAAGGCATGCGGATCCAGTTGACAAGCTCATGAGAGTATTTCAGGCATGGAAAGCCAAGACACTCTGGCAAAAAAAAAAAAAAAAAACAACACACACAAACACACAACAAACCTAAATGAAAGATGTCTGCGAGTGAGATCCCAGTGGAAAGAACGGGTCATCAAAGAAGGAGGTACCTTTCTCTGAAGGGAGGAGAGAACTTCCACTTTGACCATGGCCTTGTCTAAATATGATCAGAGTCAGTGAACTCAGGGGGCTTCCATAGCCTTGGCAGCTCATGACAAGAGCCTAGGGTGATTACTGAGGCCATAAACAAGAGTGTCAATTTGTTAAGTCAACAACAGGAGTCACTGTGCACTTACTCCTCATGTAGGATCTCTGTCCTTAGTGTGCTGTTCATTGAGATTTAATGCTATAACTAGTACTCAAACAGTATTTTTCACTTTATGTTTCTGTGTGGGAGCGAATTGTTGAAATCTTTACTTAATGTATGCTAAACTGATCTTCTGTATATAAAGAGAATCAAAAATGAATCTTGATGTAAATGGAAGGGGAGAGGGAGTGGGAAAGGGGAGGGTTGCGGATGGGAGGGACATTATGGGGGGTAAGCCATTGTAATCCATAAGCTGTACTTTGGAAATTTATATACATTAAACAAAAGTTAAAAATAAAAAAATGGAAATTAGATTCCTCATCAATAAATAATAAAGTATTCCTTATAAAATACCTAAAGAATTAGAAATTTTTCCATAGCCATTTGGGCAGAAATGTAAAGACAGAGTTTAACAATACCATCAGAGCTTCTTTCCCATGGTCACTGCCAGGTTGGGATACTGAGACCTTAATCATTTTAGAGGCTCTAGAGGCCATTTCTCAGGGAAGCCACTTCTTGATTATTCTTTTTTTTTTTTTTTTTTTTTTTTGACAGTCAGACTTGGACAGTGAGAGAGGGAGAGACAGAGAGAAAGGTCTTCCCTCCATTGGTTCACCCCCCAAATGGCCACCACGGCTGGTACGCTGCACTGATCCGAAGCCAGGAGCCAGGTGCTTCTCCTGGTCTCCCATATGGGTGCAGGGCCCAAGCACTTGGGCCATCCTCCACTGCCTTCCCGGGCCACAGCAGAGAGCTGGCCTGGAAGAGGGGCAACCGGGACAGAATCCGGCGCCCCGACTGGGACTAGAACCCAGGGTGCCAGTGCCGCAGGCAGAGGATTAGCCAAGTGAGCTGCAGTGCGGGCCGGAAGCTACTTCTATAACACTTAATTCAAGATTAAAACACAAGGGCCAGTGTTGTAGCTCAGCAGGTTAAGCCACTACTTGCAACAGCAGCATTCAAACAGAGCAGAAATCTGAGCCCTGGCTGCCCTGTTTCCAGCCTAGCTCCCTGCTAATGTGTCTGGGAAGGCAGCAGAAGATGACCCAAGGGCTTGAGCTTCAGTAACCCATGTGGGAGACCGAGATAGACTTCCAGGCTCATAGCTTTGACTGGGTACAGCCCTGGCTGTTATAGTCATTTGGGGATTGAACCAGTGAATGAAACTGGTCTTTCATGTGAGGTTGCCAGTGTAATCTTAGAATATTTCTCCCACAAGACCCTAATCAATTACCACAGGGAAAATGGTGACGTTGTGTTGGAGAAAACAGAGAGCCCAGGATGGCCAGGTGATGAAGGGGAACACCTATACTGAGGGGATGAGTCCATACTGTGTAACACCTAAGGCGAGGCCCTGAGAATGCCCAGAGCCACCTCCAGAAGGTTCCTGACAGGACTGCATGACCTGAACCTGACCATGAGGAAATAGCAGATGAACCGAGGATGAAGGTTGTTTGACAGAATGTAATGTCTGCGCTCGGTAGATCGGTCAAGAACACAGAAGACAGAGAGAGATGAAGCACTGAAGAACTGTTCCAAGTGGCAGGAGACTAAAGAGACAACTGCATGCAATGTGGGTTCCTCAATTGGAAAGGAGGAAGGAGCATGGCTGGGGTCAGGGATGAAATAGGGAGGAGACGTGCAGACTAGAGAGGAGCATTGCCAATGTCAGTGCTGACTTCTGACTTGCACAGCTGCAGGTGACCAGGAGAGCGGCCTTATTTGGGGCCATATCCAATGGGTTACTGAAAGATGAGGGGGCATCCCGACCTCAGCTCCCTCTCCGGTCAGAAAAACTCCTGCTCATGCATGTGTGTATCCAGTTGGGGAATAAGAATGAAAGAGATGCTTGTGTCTGAGTTCTTTGTACTGTACAGTAATTGTAACTTCTCTGTAAGTGCAAAATTACTTCAAAATAATTTTTTAAAGTAAAAATAGGTAACCCCAAAAATACACACAAAGGCTGTTATGTGTGTGGTTTTTTTTGTGCCTTTATGGAAACTTTCCTAATCTTTTCTCTTGTGGTCGAGTGGTGGAGGAAACATTTTTTTATTTTTCTCTGGTTTGTTTCTTTTAAATTTCTGCAACTTTTCCATGGATATCATACTTTTTTTTTTTTTGATAGGCAGAATGGACAGTGAGAGAGAGAGACAGAGAGAAAGGTGTTCCTTTGCCGTTGGTTCACCCTCCAATGGCCGCTGCAGCCAGCGCACTACAGCCGGTGCACCGCGCTGATCTGATGGCAGGAGCCAGGTACTTATCCTGGTCTCCCACGGGGTGCAGGGCCCAAGCACTTGGGCCATCCTCCACTGCACTCCCGGGCCACAGCAGAGAGCTAGATGGAAGAGCGGCAAACGGGACAGAATCCAGTGCCCCGACTGGGACTAGAAGCCGGTGTGCCGGCGCCGCAAGGCAGAGGATTAGCCTAGTGAGCCATGGCGCCGGCCAGATATCATACTTTGATTTCAATTTGTAGTACAGATTTTTTTTTCTATTTGGTTGGTTGGTTTTTGGTTTTAGGGGGTTTTCTTTGAGTTTTTGTTTGTTTTATTTTTAAATTTTTTAGTTATATAAGATGAATAAATCTCATATACACATATTGAAAAGCATAATGCTATTTTCCACTCTACCCTTCCTCCCACATATGATTTCATCCTCCCCCCTCCTTCTTTACTTATTTTTTAATTTTTATAATGACATACTTTCAGTTTATTTCACAACCACAAGCTTAACTCTCCACTAAATAAAGAATTCAACAAGTAGTAAGAAAGAAAAAAATCACTGTTCCTCAAGAGTATATAGATAAGGGCTGTGAACATTAATCAACTCTTGAGATGTCAATTTCGCTCATATACATTATGTTTTTTGTACTCTGTATATTAGTTACCACAAATCAGGGAAAACATATATCTGTATTTTTGGAACTGACTTATTTCCCTAAGTATAATGGTTTAAGATCAACATTTGGAGAGTGTTCTGCACAATCAGTTGCTGAGTAAATGTGGTTGAGCAATGATCTCACTAGTAAAACAGCAACAGCGAGAAATATTTGTTGCATTTGGCAAACAAATCTGAACAGTAAGAAAAAATAAATAAATTCAAAATTAAGCAATGATAATATTATCAAACGGTAAGGCAAATGATACATTAAAGAATATCTTGTAACTTACAGTATATATTTAATTTATAGTTATAATCTGCTTTACTCATAGGACCTCAACAATAGGAATGTTAGCCATCATCTCATTCTATTTGGGAGCAAGTGAATTTACTTTTTAATGCAACTACAATATATTTATTAATTTTAATTGAGGGCCAGTGTGTTCATCGATTATTCTTTAGCACACCAGTAAAATGTGTTTGTTACTTGGGGGAAAATACAGAAGCAAAATGCAGGGAAAGTGCTTTCTACATCTATGACTGAGTAAGTAAATAAGCACTGATGGAGCAGTAAGCAATCCTGACACATAAAGACATCTCTAAACAGATTCAATTCCTACTGCCTTGCTCTGTCTGTGGATGACAGAATATGTGGTATAAACCGTGTCTTAGAGGCGCTTGCAGCCATTCTACATT